ATGGGGAAGCAGAAATATTATGGGGGGTGGCAGGTAATCAATTAATAAGAGTATTTGTGCTATTTTTAAAATTTTGTGGGATTTGCAATGTTTTTCCGCTTTTAAATTTTTATACTTTGTTGTGTTTTTTTCAAATGTGAATGTTATTTGCATGCCTAATGTTATATTTCTCATGTTATCATATTTATTCATAGAGAACATCGCCTTCCAATAAGTAATTACATGAGTTTCTGTCCCAGTAAGACCTGGATTTGCCATGCCTGTGACTGATAGCTCTCTGGGCTGGCCGTGCTCATCAGAGAACCTTTTGATGGGCAGGGAGCGCCAGGGGAGGCTGGTGGCAGTCACCGGGGCCATGTGGTTGGCAGGGTCTGTGAAGCCCAGTGGGGGCTTCCCCTTCCTGGGTCTCAGGGAAGCGCTCATGTTCCCTTGCTGTCCAGAAGGAAGAACCACTTCTGCTTCAGCTGTCTCCAGAGGCTGGTGTGGCCACGTGAGAGAAGCAGCAACCGCCTGCCCAAGGGCCTCAGGTCACCTCCAACAGGGACCGCTTCCAGGGAGGAGATTGATCTTGATCTGCTATTTGTTTAGGTCTCTGCTCCGTCCCTGATGGCAGGGAAGGTCCAAAGCCTGGAGCCATGCGTGGATGGAGTGGAGACTCAATGCTTGCAGAATGTGAAAGTCATGTCGTCAAACCCTGTTACTTCACTGTGACATTGCTGGTGTAGGCCACGTGGCCAGCCTGTGCAGGAAAAGTCATTCAAAGCCATAATTCAGAGTGACATCTCACAGATAATACTTACATTCAGGTTTAAAAAGAATAAGAGACTACCTACATACAAAGTCCTGTCCACTGTGTCCTTAGTGTTTATCTGCCACCTCTGTCTGATCTAGCCTGCCACACTGACGTGTGCAAGTACACACAACACACGCATGTGCACACACCGATCCACACACTGAAGTGTCCATGCGCGTGCACTCACACACACACACACACACCCATACTGCCTTGGTTGGAATCTGGAATGTACCCCAGAGACTCATGTGTTGAAGGCGTGGTCCCCAATGAATCCATGTTCTGAGGTGGGGCTTCTGGGTAGTGATTGGTTCCTGAGGGCTCTGACCTCACCAGTGGGTTAACGATCTGATGGCATTATTGAGAGAATAACGTTGTAAAATGTTAGAGGTGGGACCTAGCTGAAGGAGCAGGTCCTTGGCAGCATGCCCCTGCGCACAATGTCCTGTTTCTGGTCCTTTTTTCTTCTTTGCTCCTGGCTGCCATGAGTGTGGAGCTTCTGCCATGATGGTCAGCTCAAGCAGAGGCATGGAGCTATGGGCCTTGAACTGAATCCTCTGAAGCTGTGGCCCAAATAAATCTTTCTTCCTTTTAAGTTGCTTCTGTCTGGTGTTTGGGCCACAGTAACAGATAGCTAACACATGTGTCCATGTCTGTCCACATCCAGAGCCATCCCTTTGCCCGTTCCAGCTGAAGTCGATTGTCACCTCCAAACTCACAGTGCAGTGGGTGTGTGGGCTCATGGTGACCCTCTTCTGTGTCAAGTGTTTGTATCCATTGGACATCCAATGAATAGGACTGGGAGGCAAAGGAAGGAGCAGGTGACCATTTCATTAGCAAGAATTAAGAGTGTTAGGGATGTGCTCATGGAGGGGTGTTGGTCAACATTCCAGTTGTTTGAAAACATGGATTTCCTAAATTCAAAGGCAAACTGTAAGGAATTTCAGCTTGGAGCTCACTGTGGCCACTGTCTCTTATCATGAGCTTGGCTGACAAAGTCGGTCAGATGTGAGACATGGGGTAGGAACTCCTTAGGTTATTTCATGAGTATGACTGACCATTGTACCTTAAGAGAGTCAAATTTCTGATAAATGGGTTTATTAATAACTTCCATATAACAAATGAGTTTAATCACTTCAACTTAGGAAGTGGTAATTTGAGGGAGTAAGATCTCACCATCTGCACTAATTTATTTCTGCTATATGAATTAAAAGCAAAAAGCAACTAACCTGATAATCCCTTGGCAGACTAATAAGTAAGAAAAAGATTTTTTTAAATGGGAAATTGATATAATTAGAAAGCTATTAACTTTTTCCCCTACTCTAACATCATGGAATAAGTGAGCCACAGGGGACCTATCCTTCAAAATAATTAAATTCCAAAGAAGTTTTTGGTTTAAGAACTATCTGATTTTTCTAAGTTGTGATATTTAACTGTGTGTATTTGGAGATTTGTGTGTGTGTGTGTGTGTGTGTGTGTGTGTGTGTGCTCTTTCCTCTCTATGTTTGGGGAGCCCCAGCATTGTGCAGCCAGGTCCTGCTACATGCTGAGCCTGATTCTACTGCTGTGTGGTCTGCACAACTGCAGTGGGGTAGCCAGTGGCCACCACCTTCAACAGTGGGAAAACTGAGGCACCCAGAGTTGAGGCTGAGTATAGGCTCAGGGTGTGAACCCATGCTCTTAGGTTCTTTAGTCTTCTGCTCTGATGGATAAAGACCTAATAAATGGTGAGCACACAAAAAGGGGGAATTGGGTTAAATCTCTGGCAGCACAAGCCAGGCCTGTTGAGGGAGGTGGAAGGGAGTGGCCTGTGGCATCCTGGATTGAATCTCAGGTCACCCACTGAGAAAACTGCCTTGAGCACCAACCGTGATCTGAGCAGCTTCTCCTCAAAGCTCATTTCTGGAAAAGCTTCCTGTGTCTTACCTTGCTCAGCTCAAAGAACAGCTCTGTGAGAGGACTGGTGGCCCCAGAAGAGGAAGCCAGGTATGTGCTCCAACCAGAAGGCTATGTCTCTGTAAATGTATTAATCCATTATGGTATTACTATGAGGTTCTGTTTAGATTATTATTCTTTACAGCAGGAGAGCAGTGAGACTGAACCAACTGACTCCACCAGGCCAGAATAGCAATCCAAATATGTCCCCAACCATGCCAGGTGATGGTGTCTTATTGTGATGGCATATGTCTCAGGTGATGTTGACGAGGAGCCAATGATAAGGTTTTAAAAAAAAATACAGAAAGATGAAAAATAGGGAGAGAGAGAGAGGGAGGGAGGGAGGGAGGAAGGAAGGGAGCTTGCTTATTTATTTGTTTATTTAGCT